GGAGTGCTCTTTTCAATACTGGAATGCTGAATGTTTCTTTCATACGCAATCATGAATATACATAAAATAAGATTTCAACATTGACTAGATTTATAATTTTATAAGTGTAATTCTCACATATAGCTGTGCACAGGATGGCAGTTAGGTTTATACAACCATGAATGTTAAAAAAGCATCCATAATAAAACTCAATAAAATTAAATTACTGCTCTTTAACTCTCTCAAATTGTATATTTGTATGCATCCAGCTCTGCGAGGCGGACCTGCAAAATTGGCATGATTGAGTGTCATAATAATGTTTTAAGATTTATTTGGTATAATACAAATGTTTACCCAAACAGAGGTGGACATGCAGTTTTAGGGACCCTCAGCAATCATGGTCAACTTCTGCTTCGCTAACAGTGAACTCTTCGGGTTGTTGAAACTGTATGTCCACCTCTGTTGGGATAAACATTTGTATAATGATGGATGGATGAGCTATTCAAATTTCATTTCCCACGATGCACTGGTTTGACTTTTAGTATACCAAGATATCATATTGCAGTAAAAAAAGATGCATTTTTCTCAACACCTACATTGACAGAAAACGTATGTCTGGCTACAGATGATGTGTTGCTATAGTAACAATCATTTCCAGAATACAGATTCAATGTTGAATAGACTTGTAACCATTTTTATTTAAATTCAGGGCAGAAATGAAGAAAGTGATGCTGACTGTATTCAAGAGTAATAACACAGCAAATCAGTTTTTTAAGAAAGTATTAAAGTAAGTTGTAATATATTGTGAAATTATGTAAATAAAAAAAGGCCAAAAAACAACTTGTTTTGCAGAACTACCACTAGAAAATTTCTGAATGTACAGATAGTTTTGATGTTTTGGGGGAGATTGCGGCAAAACATCTAGCTCAAATTTGTTATTGGTAGCACTATTGTAAGATATGTATACCGTAATACGTCAAAATACAGTTTACAAAGCTTTTCCATGCTTGATTAGTCCCTGCTTGGACAAAGTCTGAAAACAGGGACTATTAATTTGGGTTCCATTCGTTTGTGTGTCCGTCCTGAGTCAGCCTAGGTGGGGACACCCTTTGACCGATCTTGTTCAAACTTGGCATACAGAAAATGACCTACATATGCACGCTAATTTTCGTTATGATTCAAAAGTGATCATGCATATTGGGTTATAGGTGCAGGACATTTTTTTTTCGAGAGTTGGTTCTCAAAATTGGCAGACTGGTCATTTTTTTTTTCCATTTTCTAAAGATATGGCCTGATTCAGTTCAATGTTTGTACATGGCTACTATACTTCAAGATAACACAACATCATGTTTTGTTTTGAGATTTGATCAAATTTGTCGAAATGGCGGCCATTTTGTTTAATATCTTAAAATCACAGTCAGTAACTAGTCCGGAACTGTGTTTCTCGGAGCTGAACAGGATGATTTCAATCAAACTTTGTATGGTGATCATGCATATTGGGTTATAGGTGCATGTCACTGTTTTTTCAAGATTTGGTCCAAGATGGCCGACTGACAGCCATTTTGTTTTTTTCCCATTTTCAAGCTGATTCCTTCATAAGATATGGCCTGATTCAGTTCAAAGTTTGTACATATGTACTATACTTCAAGATAACAACATCATGTTTTGTTTTGAGATTTGATCAAATTTGTCAAAATGGCGGCCATTTTGTTTAATATCTTAATATCACAGTCTGTAACATGTCCGGAACTTTTCTCAGCTGAATATGGCAATTTCAATCAAACTTTGTATGATCATGTATATTGGGTTACATGTGGACGTTTTTTTTTCTCTCAAAATTTGGACTAAAATGGCCAACTGGCGGCCATTTTTTTTCTTTCCTTTTTTGTGCCATTCCTCTGAAAGATATGGCCTGATTCAGTTCAAAGTTTGTACATAGATAGTATACTGCAATGTTACACAACAATATGTTTTGACTTGAGATTTGATCAAATTTGTCAAAATCGTGGCCATTTTGTCCAAAAAAACGTAAAATATCATTCTGTAACATGTCCGGAACTGTTTCTTGGAGCGATATGGCCTGATTCAGTTAAAAGTTGAATAGGGCATTTTCGATCAAACTTTGTTTGATGATCTTCCATATTAGGTTACGGTGCAAGCCATATTTCTTTTGGAGATACTTGAACAATACACGACTGGCTGCGTTTTTCTTTCATGCTATTTCCTCTGTAAGATATAGTCCAATTCAGTTCAAAGTTTCCACTTAGGTACTATACTGACAGTAACACATTGATCTTTCATTTCTACATGTCACTTGTACTGAACATTTACATTGACTACAGCTAATACTTAATGGGGACTATGTATTATCAATGCTTGTTTTCTTTAATTCTAAACCAACCTTCATCCTATTTAACTAACTTATTTAGAAGCTGTGAAAAGTAGAGTTTTTTGTGCATTTTTTAAATTAAATTCTCTGCACTTCATGTATATGTGTGCGTCACCTGTAGAATTGGTTTGTGTTCTATAACCACAGGAAATTAACCAGCATTTTCATTAAGGAAGAAAACTTATAATTTTCCAAGTGCTTCTTTTTTGATTTTATACAGATATGAGATCGACGAGACTGATCAAAGTTCATTGTATCCGCTAGATGACTATGATTATGAAATCCTGAGTAAACCGATTACACTGCCAAAAAAAACAGTGTCTTCACCTGGAGAACAGAATGGAGCCACGGCTGTAGAGACAGCATCATAGAAAATTGATTACATCAATAATAGGATGTCTCCTATCTACTGATATTTTTAATTATGTTTTTCTGACCTTCATATGAACTCTTCTACTGCAAAGTACATTAATGTTCACATTCACTCATCCAATATTAAAACTTAACTGAATAAATTAATGTTTGACAACTCTTCACACAGTGAATAATTAAAGAAAAAGTCAAGGCTAAATACTTAATACCAGATGAAAGAGCTCGCCAAATGTAAGAACATGCAATTAACAGTTTTTTTATATCACTTTTTATGTTCTCGATATTAAACTTTTCATTAATTTGCGTAGTCCACCATCTTGATTCTTCAGCAAAGGATGATGGGTAAAGTATGACATTATATCCACTGTTGTAAATTGAGAAAATGATTGCATCTATAACTTCAAAAGTTGAACTTCAAATTGGCTGAAAGTTTAGAACATGGCATCACCCATGTACCGGTGCCAAACATGCATATAAAATAGTTGTCATCGCAATGGAAATAAAAATATTATGTTTCTTTTCTACCATATGCTTAAATTTCCTTATATTGTATACATTCTATATTCTATATTTCACAACTAAAATAAAGATTTTTATGTTTTTGGAAATATCCTCAATTTATGTGTATTTGTAACATTCTAATTTCCATTACTATAATTATATACACGAGTTATATGCACACTGAGAATTTGAACTAATTCGCATCAGTATTTCTCACGCGAAAGATGAAAGTATTTTCTCAATTTTTCACAACAGTGGATATGATGTCACACTTTATCCACAATCCTTTGCTGGAGAATCAAGATGACAGACTACATAATACTGATGAACAATTGAATATCTAGAGAATGAAAAATGATATAAAAAAACTGAATTGCATTCTCCTACAATTATGGAGCTCTTTTTTAGGGGTCATTATGTTGTTTGGATTGATGTTATCTTTAAAGTGCCGGTGCAATGCCACCCTCACGTTTCCCATCTTAGGTCTGTGTCCCACTGAAATGGGCAGTTACTGATTTTTTTGCTGAAAATGATTACTCGTATCCAAGTAAGTAAATTTGGGATATTTCTCGTGTTCTAGCCATGCCCACCTATCCCGAAACGGTCAACTGTTTCCGGATTTCCGACTTGCAACCAAATGACAAAATGTGAGAGGAAGTCATACCCCTGAGCCGTAATAACACTGGTCATTTAGTATACATACTTTTAAACGATATACATTTTTCGGTCGGCGTTTTTTCTTTTTTTTATTTTATTTTTTGAAAGAGAGTTTTTAGTTGTGTTGTAGGCAGTTACAGTGAAACGATAGTCATAGTGTAAGTATTCACACGTTTCTAATCGATCCGAAAGTGCGACATCAGTGGACGAAAGCTACTTAACCTCAGATTCTTTTTTTTGTTGAAAAAACTGTCCTCCATGACAAAACAACTAGGTTTAAAGAGAAACGCCGACAATGTAAACCTGGCACAATACTTTTGAAAGAAAAAGATTACGGACCAGCCCATGATCACCGAGGCGGTTTTTAAAAGAGAGAGAGATGTCCGGCAAGTGTTCCAAATGAGTTTACTTTTTTTGCGACCCTGATTATCGTTTTATAGAGACCATTTAGTCCCTCTTAAGTAAAAAGGTAGCAATAATTTTGACAGTGACACGAAAACGAAGCGTCAGACAAACAGGAAATTACACAGCCCTTACACACTGCTAATTGTTTTCATTTTCGAAGGCTAAAAGTTTCTGAATTGTTGGTGATGAATGTTGAATTCACACCTCTGTTCTTTTTTTACCTTAATGCTTGCAGCTTGATCTGCATAATAATTTATGAAATAAGAATCCGGGCTTGGTCAAGGTGTTTCCACCAAGTAAAATTTTAATATTATAATTATGACAATCATGCTAACTCAAATCCACTCTGAATTTATCTGTATGTGTGTCGATCTCGATTATTTTTGTTATCCAATTAAACGGCGCTTTTAACGCACTTGCCCTCGTCGTGACCCGACGCATTCACCTATTTCAACAAAATGTCAATTTATTTACACGCCAACCCATTTACTCAACCCCATGCAACAAAAATTGATATTCCGTGTTCATTATGGTCCATTCTTCCTCGACGAACAAGTACATAAGTGACAATTTAGTCAAAGACGAGAAAACTGCACAAGAAATCTGCCTTATTTACACTTATCAGCAATGCAAGCTGCCATGCGACTTCCCCTTCTGACGTCACAAGGGGAATTTCTGTATGCTAATGAGGAGCCTCGTTTTAAAATACACAAAAATAAAGTTTAAAACACTTTTTTTCACTTAAAAAAATAATTCATGCTTAGAAACATAAAAATTAATATTTATGTATCAATGGATAATTTTAGGCGTGAAAATAGCAGCCAATTCACAGGCACTTTAAATAATACCAGCTCACATCAGTGAAAAATTAAATAGTGAATTAAAGTGGTGTTTTGAAATAATCCAGACAGAAATTAGTTAAACTACCGGTAACTTGAAATGTGTGGTACTAAAACTAGTAGCTGTATGTTATAAAAGCTAGGATTAGACTGATATCTTGACTGTACAGTACATCTGTATTGATACCTATGACAAGAGATGGTTATCAGCACGCTAAGCTGTACCACTGACGTTCAAATATTTGGCATGACCCAACGAGATAATTCAGTCACACATTGAATCAACAATCAATGCAGTTGGTATATCAATATAGTGATCTTTAAAAACATCTTCTTTCTGTAGTTATGGAATTCACATTCTATGAACAAAATAAAATCTTTTTCTTAAGGTCGACCTCCCCAGCAATCTGGCTCAATTTAATATGGGGGGGGAGGGGGGCTTTTTTGTACACTGAACAAATGCTCATTTGTGTACACATGGAGGTAAACACAGACTGTTTTTACCTCCATGTTGGAAGGTACTAACATGACAGAAGGGCCCACAACGCCTCTCAAGTGGCCATTTAAGCTTCTTATCTGGCTTATTTTCTTTTGTTTCAACCCAAGTTAATCGTGATAAGGACATTGTCTAGCTCATCTTTGATGTCGATGATAGCTTGCGATTGTTTACACAAGTAACGAGTTAGCACAATATGATACAT